TATATATATATATACTTATTATTTTAAAGATCATTATTCTTCGCTGGCGTGTGGTACCATTCATTTCATTATTTGCATTAATATAATTATAATATGTATTACTACTTTAATTCGTGGAATTTATGTAGTCAAAATCACTTCAAATTTTCAAAGTGAACACAGTATAAGAGGTTTCAAATGCAATTCGTATGTGCATATCAAATATGGATGTTCAGATTAGCTGAAAAGGATCCTTATCAATTATACAAGAGATTGAAATGTATTGGGCTTCATTACGTAATGACCTACAAAGTGGATAATCTATGGCAGAAATTGGTCCCTCCTCAAGTTGTACCTGATCTAATCCAGGTTTTGTAGGTTGTTAAATAGTGTTTTAATTTTGTAATGGAAAATTTTGATCTCAACCATACAAATAGGTTCGTTACTACTATGTTGCAGCTTCTTGAAACCGGTGCCAGCATGAAGCAAATGGAACTTGAGCCAGTCAAACTTTTCATCAAGACATCACTTGATCGCTTTAATTGTCAACAAGAGACTGCGAAGAACATGTCTTCACTTTTAGCTGTCGTTGTAAGTGATTATTTCTAATGTTGTAATAGAGCACATGACTGAATCAAATCATTCATTTTACTTTCGGAATTTGAACTTTAGTATTGAAAAAGTTATTTAAAAAAAAGGTTTACTTTTCAATAATTATTTTTTGTTTTATATTTAGGACAGGGAATATTTTTCACAATTCGGCATTAATTGGAAAGTTGTAAACAATCATATTTTCGATCGAGTCATCTATCAGGATGACATGTTGTTGAATTATCCACCCAGCATGGAGAGTACTTTCAAGTAAGTTCAATAGTCAGAAATTCATTGTTAATACTTCAACTGGATTCGTTTAACTTTTTTCTTTAAGCGTTGTTTATTTGCCTTGAAGCTTTTAAAATAATCGGAACTTTATCTTTAAAATGCCTTTTTTGAATATACTGCTCATTTATCCCTTCATGCTTTTATTTTATTATTTTATATGAAACCTTTTTTTAGAATTTAGTATAAAAGTTCAAGTTACTGTATGTTCCAAATGTATCATTATCACAAATTTGACATAAATGCTATATTACTATAATGGATGAATACAGATTCGAAGAAAGTATCTTCTTAATTTTTCTTCTAAATGGGGTTTTTGTCTTTCCAAAAATAGCATTGGCCGCATTGGCAGTGCTTATCGGTTTGAAAGTGACTGAAGCATGAAGTCGGGTTCGGAATTATCTGGTTGTTGAGATTACTTTAATGAGTGGTTCAAAAAGAGATTTTATAAATGTAAGTACACTTCTGTAATTTCGAGAAGAGTATTAATTTGTTCATCTCTAATTCAAGACTGTTGGCATACTCATAGTTTAGGATACTGGAGTACGTGCTTTTGTAAAATAGTGTTCTCCAGTAAAATTTGTCTTCATTGTTCGCCATTCATAACTACTTTATTTGCTGGAATGTTATATTTATTCTGTTTATGTTTATGTATCTTACTACCAATTTTAAAATGTACATGATTTAAATTAGTGATGTAGAGTTTCCAATATTTATAGATTTCATTGTCCTTCTGCTCAAGATCAATTGAAAGTTTTTGACAGATGTGAGCTGATAGTTGATGCAAATGAAGACAAAGAAAAGCTTAAACGAAGAATTTGTGCTGAAGATTCTCTTATGGACATTCCTCAGGATGTGCTTGAACTTGCGCAAAGTTTTCGTGTTTTTCATAAACTAATGGTCACAAGCAGAGAAATACTCAGGAAGGCCAGTTCGAATACAGCACTATATATGGAGCAACAAAAAGTCAGTAGTCTTGTAAGTTCTTTACATTTTAAAAGTCATAAAATGTTGCTATAAAAATTGTTATTGAACCCCTTGGCTCAGCAAAATGGAATTTTTAAAATTTGAAATGATTATTTAAAGAAGAGTTGGAATTCTTTAAGAACCGAGGAAAAATGTTCCATAATTGCTATTTCCGAAGTGGACAGTATTATCGATGGTGTTCAGATTTAACTGATTTATTGAATAAAGAGCGGTTAGTTGCTATTTTACTTTTATGAATTAATGTAAAATGTAGACATTTTCTAAAGTTTTCATCTTACTTCTTATTACTTTTTTAGTGGTAGCATAGATTCTGGAATTGATAAACTCAGCACACCAAGGCGTTTTCACGAACTCATTGATGAAATATCTGCAAATTCTAATTCTGTAGGTCAGCTACAAACTCTTAATCAAGAATCAAACATTGAAGTATGGAACTTTCGTGTGGCGGCGCTGTCATTTTATTTTTCCAAAATTAAATGACGTGCAACTTTTGACAGCTGTGTACTTATAATGGTAGTATCTTTGGTTTAGTTAAATTTTAATTAAACTTTTCTTTGCTGAAATGATGTACAAAAAAGTTTCTTAGATGAGAATGCCGATTTATTATCTTGCATGCTGTGCAGCGATTGCTTCTTACGACATTGTTCTTGCGATGAGTGCCAAACTGCACATGTTATTTCTTCCGATTCCCTTATTGGTAGAGTAAATATGGATGACTTGATGAGGGTTTGATTTACAAATATTCTAATATTTTTGTTTTTGAAATTCGTTTTCACTTTCCTGATAATCATCCAGTAAATCAAATCTATTTTTCTGACCAGTAATTTTTTAGCCATTCACCAGTCATTCTGATAGAAGTGATGATAGAAATTTGGTTTGGGAAAAATTGGGATGGAAGCTTCTTCTGTCAAGTACTGAGCAATATTCTAGACGTAGCTTACGGTTTCAAACTGCTAGAAAACTATTCACTATGCCTGATCGTCTCAAAGTAATGACTTGTATTCTATTCATGAATTTTATTCATTCATTCTGAAATACTGCAATTTGAAATGCCATCACGGAGTTCTTTTTTTTTGACATGAATAATGTAATTATTCTGTAATTAGTGCCGTACAGTTACAAAAACTTAATTTCTTTTAAACTCAAGTTGTTATTTCGAGAAAAAATGTTTGGATAAAAATCAGGAACTTCTGTCTAAAAATCCAAACAGTTATTTTTTATTTTTTTTTCGATTTAACTGAGAAGTACTATTTATTTACCTTTGTAATGTTTAGAAAAAGAAAACAGTGTGTGATGAATGGCAGACTCCGTATGCTGGGTCGCATGACAACGATTCTTCCAGCTACTGCTTTCGTGAAAAAGAAGGCTGTAATTTATTTAGTAACGTGAAAGGTATGAAGTATGAATTCAAAAATGAATTTTTTTTTGCATAATTTTGCAAATTCATTGATTGAAGAAAAGAGTGACATTTTTCGAAGTTTTTGTGAAAAGTGTAGAAATTATTTTGTACTTTTTAGATGAATACACAGAGCATCAAACAAGCAACACCAATGTGTCTTTTTTTCGTTCATCATATAATGGGATTGAGAACAATATTAAAAACATATCAAAATTAAAAAATGAACTGAAGTCAGTTTTTGTAGATTGATTTCACTTTCTTTTAGTTTATTTATTTATTTTTACCTAGATTATCGTAGTTTTCATGCGTCACTAATATTTTTTAAGGATAAGATTACTGTCCAGATGTGAATTTGAAGATAACAGTAAAGCAAGGACTTCTTCAAGTATGTTTTCAAACCAATTATTCTATCATTTGCTTTTAAACGTCAGTAAATTTTTTTTTACATTGAATATCAAATATTTTTGGTTCAACTGATAGCTTTGAAAGAGACGTGGCCAATGATGAGTACAAAAGGAATAATTTACTCGGGACAAAGGAAGCAGATATCATTTCAGAAGGAAAAATTGTAAGCTTTTTTGCCTTTGCTTCTATGATATATTTAAACATTAGCGGAGCAAGAAAAAAGGAAAATAAGATGATCATTTTGTTCATTTGTTTGTTTTTTACGTTTTTTATTGTTTTGAACATCAAGAAGCTCAAAATGAAGAAAGTTTCGAGAGGTGATCAAATCAAAGCTGTTTACAAAGCATTCTCGACATCATTTACTAAAAAAATTGAATGGTTAGTTTGCTTTTATTTTCAATTCTCGAAGAGTAAACAAAACAAAATGATGACAGTACAATCCAATAAATATTTTTTTTCCTTCTAATTTTAAATCACTAATTACTTGGGTGATAAGAGATATGAAGAGTATTGAAATTAATATTTCTCCAATCATACATGTGTATCATACGTATGTTTTTTAGTGCGCACAGTTGCAATGTTCTGCAGTCACAAAAACCGCTGTTCAAGCAGTTAAGCAACAGTTATTCAACTGATCTGGCAAAGGAATATAACTGTAAAAGTTTCAACTTTACTTTTGTATACATGCACGAAGACTCATGAAATACAGTCAAAAACCTACTGAAGTGTTCGTCTATTTAAAATTTTGGTGTTAGTCACAGCGATATCTAAGTTTAAAATCGAATTTGGATTTTTAGTAAAAAGGTCAGTGTTTGAACCTTTTGGATACACAACAATGAAAGAACTTCTAAAGACGCGTAAAGTTGGTTGTACACTCCTAATGTCACAACTAAGCCAAAAGAGTAAATCTCTGTCTGATGGAATTGATTCAGTCAGTCAAGGTAGTTAACGCTGAAATCGCTACCATCTAAAACACTGGCGAAGATGGTCTCATCATTTTATGATTCTTGTGTTCCTTCAGAAAATAGTGTATTGAATGCAGTTTCTTTATCGGGTTCATTTCTATATTCATTCGCTTATACAACAAAATTATTTGCTAAACTCATTTACTTATCGTTGTTAAAGAATTGAATCAAGAGAGGGCACTCGACATGAACACAAGCGCTCAAGAACAAGCTTCATCAAATTTAAATACAGATAAAAATAAGGTAATGATATTTTCCAGCAATTTTTCCTTCCACTGCCCAAAATTTTCCTTTTTTCAGTGATTGAATATAAATTTGATAATTAAAACGGAAGTTCTAGAAAAAGGTAGTCAAAAATTATGCACATTTTCGTACGAGTAATTGGTGGAAATGTGTTTCAGTGATTAAAAAACGAATACAAAACAGAGTTCGCTCTCATCTTTAATAATACTAATTTGCAAAACGTCAAGTTAGGCGTACTTTAGAATCGAGTTCGTGATGGCATAGGAAGATGTTTGTCTAAAGAAGATAAAGCAGATGGTCTTAAGGAAATGACGAGTGTTACAGTTATTGCTGCATTTGAAAGGTGAGTGAGTGGTAGGAAAAAAATAAGATCATAGAAGGAATCCTCTTTCACATACTGGCTGCTTCAGAGATCTTCACCCAGTGTCCAGTAATTTTGTATATTCTTAGTGATTTCATTGAGTAAAGTAGTCAATTAGAATATTTCATTATTTGCAGGAAACTTGATCGTGCACATTAGCATAAGCTCTGAGCGATCAGCATGAAATATGCAAAAATCTGACTTTGATTTCATTGATCTCAGTGTTGTTGGAACGCATATGCATATAGGGGGATGGCTATTTCGCGGAATTTCCTCGTCCGTGACATATTTTTTTGCAAACAGCAATACCCTTTTCCACTACGTGTGTGCATCTTGTTTTTCTTAGGCCAGGTCGCGTTCTCTTTTCAGTCACTCGTGAAATGTAGTGACAGACTCAGTTGTAGTGTTAAGACTGGTACTAATCGGTCGTGTAAGCATGTTAAATAGAGTGCAATTGCTGAAGTAATCAAATCGTTTTGCTTGAATTGGGATAGTTGCACCAGAGTATCTTGTGTAGGTCGTGTTTAGTTGTAATGACAAGTTGATGAGTGAGTACAGAAGGAAGGAGTTAGTTGGATTTTCTGAAATATCTTGCGGATTTCATTATTCCAAAGAATTAGATTTGCCCGTTGGTGATAATCTCTGTTCATGACTAGTAGTTTTCATCGGAGAAAATCGTCAACAGTATGGACAATACTTTGTGTGGTGATTGTGACCTCAAAGAAGACTCACTGTTTTTATTCAATTCGATTTTCAAGTTTTGCTTATCTTTCGATCATTTATAGTGCACATTGATACTTCAGTGACATTTCGATGGAGGGATCATCTAATCTTGATTCAACTTTGCAAACTTCCGAGCTCGAAGTAGAACTTGATCGTGAAATTGCAAGCTTATTAGAAAATAGTCAGTACTTAAAGTAACTTGCCACTTCATTTGTGAGTAATTTAGTTGTTCTAACACTTATTGATGTAACTGCATCCTTTTAAGAAAATATTGGTTCTTTTTTTGCGGATTCGTTATTAACGAACTAAAGATGGCTACTTTTCTTGCAGGTGATGAGTGCAAGGAAACAATTTTAGAAAATGCCAAAGATTGTTTAGCAAAAACCCTGTATCAGCATCATCTAGCTGCTGAATTGGCGAAACTGTTGTCTAATGAAACATTACTTCCAAAATGTAGTAAAATGTTCAGCAATGAAAAGGTTTTTTGTTAATAATTTGTTTAGTCGTTAGGAAATGGTGGTGGTTCAAAGTTTAGCATTTTATCCCGTGAGTTTTTCAGAAACTATTCACACCAGAAATGCTTTCTAAATTGACCAATGACCTCACTGAACCGTCTGGTCCGGCGTCTTCCCATAACGCAGACCCTCAGGAGTCTGATCTTAGTGGTATTTCTGATCAAATACAGGAATTGCACAAAGAGGGGGAACTCAAGAAGCTCCTTCAACAAGCTCTGGAATTGAAACGTAGTAAGATCTATTTTCTGTCATATTAATTCAGTAGGCGCAGTTCTTATGCAAAAATTCTTTCTAATTCAAGAGCTGGAATTTTTTTTGCATGGAAAATAAAACTTCATTAGCAAACTTGTAGTTGTCGCTATTATTTTAAGAACAAAATGCAGCTGCCTCGTTGAATAAGGTGGATGATGTTGATGATGTGAACTTAAGTGAACAAGAAATAAGAATTTTGGAGGAAGAATTGTTTGCGCCTCACTCAGATGATGATTTTGTTGATAGTGGAGAGGTAAATGTTATCAAAATTCCTAAAATTTTTGGAGTCGTATATACCTAACTTAAACTTTTTGACTAATAGTGTTCTTCAAATATTTGATTAAAAGTTTTAGTCCCAATGAATTATTTTAGGAATCTCAAGAAGAATATATCGAACTTGATGCTTCTGAAGAACTTCACTATTATCATCATCATCATCATCATCATCATCATCACCACTTTTGTGAACATAGGGTGACTGTCTTCGTCATTGTAGTAATGTTGATATTTCAATGCTCATGTGATTGGAGTATACATGAATTAACGAGTAAATAATTACCGCAGCGTGAAGCAGTTTTTTTAATTGTCAAATTTTTTCATTTTCATCTTTTTTAGTCGGTAAAGAAAAGAGGTCGAGTTCGGCGGCATGGCCCCCGTATTTGTTGTTATTGTAAAGCATTGGGACGTCTTACAGATGCTAACATAGCAAGTCGTGCACAAATGAGGGAAAGATTGCTTGTAAAATTAAGAGATCGAAATACACAAAAGGTTGTTTTACCAAACTGACGTCTAAGGAATTAAAAAATAGATCATAAATGAGGAAGGGCAGCCTTTATCGTACGTTTATGATCATTGTATTTTTGTATTCGGAAGAATTCATAGATTGTTATCGATTTTTCAAGTTACATGATATTGTAGAACTGTGACAAGGATCTGAAAAAACAGTCAGAAAAAGTAATCGACGAGCAAGAAAAATCGCATTATACTCTTTCCGATGCAGAAATAGAAGAAATTTTGAAGTACATAAACGCAGCAAAACCTGCAAGGGATCGAAGCACGTCAAATGGAGCTGCTAAACGTGCTCGAAATAAACAACGAAAGCGAGTAAGACTTATTTTACATTTATCTGTGTTTTATTATTGCATAATTCATGTATAGAGAACAGTATCAGAAAGCAATGTTATCCTACAATTAAGATTTTTGATTTCAAGTAATGAAGTATCATTTTTGAATGATGCTTACGTAAAGGATCACTTTGAAGATTTTCCATCATAAATTAAATTGACTCAAACTTTCTTTCTTCAGTGACAAAAATAGTAACATACAATTTTAAGTCCGCATTTCTCATTAATTTTAAAAATTTGCCTTTTGATCAGAATTACTTTTCAGATGTATTAACTTTCATTCATTACAAAGATTCTTAATCTCATTTGAAGCATTTTCGTTGCGCTCATTCTGAAGCGCATTTTTCTTACGTATTCAGATTTTGAAATAATGTTCATATTTTAAGAAAGAAAAAAAGAAGCAGAGGAAAGAGGTAAGAGAAGAGGAAAAAAAAATTGCAGAGGTTGAAGATTTACAGAAACAGAAAAACCAGCAGGCAAAGCAAAAAGAAATAAAGGAGCAAAAGCAGATAAAAGCTAAAGAAGGAAAAAGTAAACAGGTGGGCTGATTTTTAAAGGTACATGATTCAATGCATAACTAACCAAAGATAACTTTTTTGAATGCTTAATTTATTCTCAGTTTCTTTTTAGAAATTGAAGTAGCATCATTAGTACATGCCAATCTTCTGTCATGTAGTATTACTTTACTTATTTTGAAATAGTTTCTCATATGATAGAAGTTTTTTTTTTTTTTAAGTACACATAATTGTAGAGCCGAAAGAAAGGAAAAAAACACAAAGATGTTTGTGACTGGGAAAAAAAGGACGGATCAAAAATGCTTAGAAATCAAGAAATTGGGGAGTCGAAAAAAATAGTCTTGAGTTCTTCTGAATATCTGAAAAATACAAAATGTAACACAAATTGTGAAGGATCAAAATCAGAGGAAGGGGATAGTATGTCTGGGATTAAGAAGGCAGCATCAGAAAATAGTGAAGTAACGAAAGAGGAAAAGGATTTTGCAGTGTCACCAAATAACGTAAAAAAGCCAGTTGTTCTTTTCGCAGACAGCGAACGATCAAACGCAGCAGTTGCGGAACAAAAATTTGGGAATGCAAGTACTGTTACTACGGTAAAACCAAAGAAGTCGAGTTCTGTTTTTGTCCCTGGAAATGAGCAAGTGCCTGACTTAATGAATCAAGAAGGAAATTTTCGAATGGAAAAAATGGAACGTCCAGGTGCTCGTGTTGAATGGGATGTTCGAAATTCTAGTCCGTATGTTTTGGAAAAAGTTAAGCATCTAGATATTGCTAAGCAGAAAAAGGAATCAAATGCGCGCATCATTCGAAATACAGGAAGATCAAGCACCATCTATGTGCGAAATGCTAAACGCAAAAATCAGCCTAACAGTTCAGTTGAGCAAAGTGTTGAACATATAGATGATGTCAGTACGAAGGAAGTACGTATGAATGAACTTGTCGCACAAGATGAAAAGCAAGTTAAAGGTTCTTTCGTGCAGGAAACTGATGAAACGAATATGAAGACGGAGGAACGGATTAATCCTGGTGTGAAAAAGGTTGAATTAGATTTGTCTGCCACGAAGCCGACCTCATCACTTGCAACAAGTGTAAAGGAATTGTCTTTTATTCCAGCAAATGAAATCGAAGAAACGCCAAAATCGGTTATTACCACAATGAGTACTGTAGCACCTGTGTTAAATACAGATATTGATGTAAATCTGAAATCTGAGTTGGAAGCAGTCAAGCAAGAAAGGAAAAATACATTGACAGTCTGTGAGTCTTCTGTTACGCAGGCTGGGATTCACGGAAATCAGGGGTCAATAGTTGATAGTCATGTGCGGTCCTCAAATCAGGATTCTAGTGTCCATGCCAAAGATATGACAACACAAAACTTCAAAGCTCTGCCAAAGTCAAATTCCACACCTCGATTTCCACGCCTCATCTCAAGGCCAGAATTAACCCCTAGAATGGCACAATTTGAACCTGTGAGTTTTGTAGATATACCGCAAGTATGGCCTGATGGAGTTATTGCTCCGAATTTGCCACCACGTCTTCCTGCTATTTTTGCAGTACATCCATATTCAAAACGGAAATCTACACAGTTTTCACTCTCGAGTCCTGCAGGCTCTAGAATACACCATGATGGATTTGATCAGTGCGCTCCATCTAGAAGACAGCCTCGGATTTTTTTCACTGGTCCATTTAAGCAGCGCCAGGAGCTGTCCTCAAACCCAAAATTTTGTAGACCACGAGTGGGTACCAGTTTATTACAAGACCCAGTCTTACGACCTATGCGATCTCCTGCTGTAGTAGATCCAGGAGTACGTCAAATAGGAGTGAATGAACCGATTCTCGCACCTAGTCTATATGCAGTCCCTCCAGCTGTTAGTGTGCCATGCTCTGATATGTTTCAGAAGTGTAGACCGATTGCTCCTCATCCTGTCCTTGATAGTACAGCTACTGATCCTCCTGTTCGAGTTTTAAATAAATTACGGTCACATGTGCCAGATTTGTCAGCTCTTTCATCACGCTCACCCACATCATCTTTTCGCGTACCACCTAACAACCGTTCTATCCGTTACCCACGCAATCGTGGTTCGTTATCGAGCGGCGTTGGAACTACGGGAGCTCGGCCCATTTTGGGTTCACCGTTACCAAAAAAAATTGCGGCACAGTTTCCAACGGAATTTTCCAATACACCTATGTCAAGCGAGATTACCACTAAACCAATTCAAAAGGATTTTTGTCGTGCACCGTTATTAAGCGAATCGTTCAGTACATCAAATCAGAATGATTCTTCCTGGTTATCTCGTCCGCGCAATTTATTTGGTGGTGATATAAATAAGGACTCGTTTGATACCCCATTATCCGAAGGAACTTTCAGTACTACTCAAATTCAGCAGCATTCGATAAATTCTCCATTACCGAAAAAGATTCAAAGTAATCATGCTAAAAGAGATTTCTCAAACGTACCAATACCTAATGGGCCGTTTAATACGAACATTCAGCGAGATATATCAAATTCACCAGTGTTGAAAAAAGTCTTTGATGGACCAGTAGTTCAAAATAATTTCTTTTGCTCGCCATTATCGCAAGATTCACTTAAAACGCAGATCTCAGGGGTTTCCTACAACAACTCAGGACAGTATGACTTATTTAATATGCCTGTGAAAGATGTAATTAATGCAATGGTACCAAATGGATCATTCAGCTCTCAGACTCACCGAGAGTTGTTGAATGCACCAGTACAACAAGAACTGGTTGATACACTTAACCAAAAGAATTCTACTACCATGTCAGTACCGAAAGTGGCTTTCAGTACTCAACTCCAGAAACCTGTCGCACATGGAAAAGAACTGAAAAAACTGCATCCTTCAGAGCAACAGAGATTACCGGAAGGGGCTTCCAGTACCCAACTCCAGAAACCTGTCGCACATGGAAAAGAACTGAAGAAACTGCATCCATCAGAGCAGCAGAGATCACTGCCGAAAGAGTCATTCGATACAAAGGAAATAAAAATTCATGAAAATTGTTTCGATGTTCCGATGCATTCCTTTTATACATCATTACCAAAGGATCAGTTTACTTCTATATCGAAAGATTTGTCCAAAACATCGAATCAAACACATTTCGCAAACACTGCCGATAATGATCATCTTCATAGAAATCTCAATTCCAACAGTAATATAGCAATTTACCCTGCTCCTAGCATCGCGGTGCATAGTAATTTCACGCATCAGAATCTTTCTTATCCCCAGTATCAGTTTTCTTATTATCCGCAGTATCAGTTTTCTGATTCAGCCATTCATACAACTAAAGCTACTGCTGATGATTTATCTTGGAATGCTGGAAATGCATTAAGTACTCCTATTTCTGAACACAGTCTAGGTAATGTCAAGTCAGAGTTCCAGGATTCGTCGCAATACAATAATAATAATTTTGCGCTGAATTCTAAAAGCAATGTTTGCAATGAATACTCGGGAAACATTCTGCCATGCGAAGTAAGCTAGTTAGTTTGTATTTAGGACTTGAGAGTTACCTTATTTCTCATTTGCATTAACTTGCTCGTGAAATGATGTATAAAATGCATTTAGTTACAGTAGTATTTTTTATAATGCTAGTTACATTTGCAGCAATATCCAACTTCAGTTAATAACGCCAGAATGAGCATTTATTTAGTTAGTAAATTTTTATCTCAATTTCGTAAATAGTGGTCTTTTGTTAACTGAAAATTCAGTTAAAAACAAAATCGTTTGATAACCATAAATTCCTTATGCGATTTTAATGTACTAAAATTTAGATCAAGACTAATGATGCATTTCCTGGGTCGAGTGATTTCTTAACTGGTGTTTGTGAAGAACGGAACAACGTAGGCGTGCAAAGCCGTCCGTCTTTAAGTTTTTTGGCTGATTACGATTCGGAAACTCAAAAACTTGCTGCTTTAGCGAGGGATGATTCTTTCTACTGCCAGCAGCCAGTAATTATCAAACCAGGTGATCCACGCATTGCAAAAATAAATCTGGATCCCCAAGAAACATTTAAACCACGTCCTGAGGATGATTTGAATTTTCTTAGTCCAGTTGAGTTAGAGATGGAGCAGTTGAAACGGTAAGTCTGCTTTGTCAAGACATTTTCTCAGATAATTATGTAAGTAATCTGACATTCCAGTCATGTCATTCTCATTCTGTAGGATGTCTATTACAGTATTTTATGGGACGATCAAATAGCGAAACCACGTACAGTTTTACAAGAACTGTCGGCAATACAACCGGAAAATGAGCCGAACGCCATATTTCATTTTGCTCCTTTGGTCTAAATGGATGATTATTATCCACTTCCGTTCTATGATTTGTTTGACGTTGTTTTCATGAAGGAATTTTATTACTCAAGGAACACGAAATTACTCGATGGTTCTTGACACAGTATTGATGGACATTCTGCTTGGTGATTTTTTTTCTAAACTGTGAAGTACGCCATATATCACGTAGTTCTTAATTGTGTTTTAGTTCTTGTTCTTTACGATTAAAAATAGTTTTTGAACTAATTTTTCATACACGTCACAACACATAATAGATTTACTGGTTGGGTAACTGCACCCAGATTCATGTAACATACTAAATTGAACTATGGGACCATTCCCACAAATCGAAAGTGATTTATGAGTGTCTTAATGAACAGCTGCGGGCTTTTTTCCCTGATCATATTTATTGGGTTAGAATACGAATTTGTTAAATGAAGCGAGATAACAATAGATACAAAATGCACCCGTATAAAGACTAGTCAATTTTGGCTGATTTTTAGCGAGATATTACGGACAGACTCAATAAGCAAGCCTTCGGAGGGTAGAACTTGTACAGTGATTGAATTTGTAATTGTTTCATCCCAAATATACTGTGCAATATTGTTTTGGATATTGGCAGCATTTGTAGTGAGTCAGTAAAAATAACTTACTTTCATAACTTTGAGCCCACACCTGGTACCTTCATAACATGTCTCAAGTAGAAAAAAAAGCCCAAGAACCCTATTACAGATCTCAATTTTTGCGGAAAGCACTCATTACAGTCAACAAAATAAAACACAGAAGTTTGTTCATGCTCATCATGATTGGTTCTGTCACATGACCGCATTTACATACCAAAAGATGAAGAAACTACAACAGACGATCACTAATGACAGTTGAAATAAAGAAACCGTTAAAATGCATAACTAGTTTCCTAAGCAATTAAATAAAATACAGCAAAACAAGAAGTCAGATAATGATATAAAATGCAAGAGCACCTATTAAAACATGAAAGTAAAAATGATGGTGAATGGCTAATAATCGAGCACGTAGACTTTAATTACTTATAAACGCTACCTTAAGCAAGAAATACAAACATGCATATGCAGCATAATACAATTCATGAATTAAAAATTCTAAAGACCCATTATTTTACACTGACAAACTCACAAAAGTACATAAGGAGAATTAGTCGTTAAATCTGATGCCGTTTTTTTCGACGATGCACGATACATTCTACATATTTTGCGGCATAATCATCAACTTTCTTCTGATCCAGTTTCGTACGCTGAGATAATGCTGCTACACCTTTTTTCATTATCTCTTTATATTCTTCTTTGGTAATTTGTTTCAATCTGAATCATAACACTCTCCTAAGGATTATTATCAGTGAAATTTTCTTTCCATAATATAGACGTAAGAATTCTATACCTATAAACTTTTTTAAGAGAAGAAGAAAGCATCTGACGAGCTTCTTCAAACATCGCACCATTTCCATGGAATTTTTTTGCCTTGACTGCTTCATCAGCTTCTTCGTCATCTGCACTTGCACTTTTGCGCCCTGACTCACCAACTTTTAGATCGACATATGGTCCACTGTTGGTTCTATCCTTTACCATGAAAAGAATTTCATAAAATATTTCCTTTTGATGGAATATACTAAAACAAAAAGACTAGGTTCACATTCAACGAAAAAGATGAAACATACTTCAATAACAGTAGTACTGTTTGTGAAACCATCTTCAATATTTGAGTCACACAACGGCTTGACATTACTAGCTTCTATTATTTTTCGAATTTTTTCAGCTAAAGGTTCATAGAGTGATGTATTATTAGATGAAACTGGTTCCGGCGGTTTCATTACTGGTGGTGGTGGAGGAACACCTTCAGGTTGCTTAACAGAATCTTGAGATAGTTGTGTGGTATCAGGCGTCTTCCTACTTTGTTGCTCCTGTAACGTGCTGGTTAAATTCACAAGATGTTGATTAAGATGATGAGCAGATGCAGCTGATAACTGTTGCATCGGATTCAATATGAACTGTGCTGTCGCAGCAGATGATGGTTGAGGAGCTAATGGTTGCGTAATTGGTGGAGCTCCCAGTGGATTATTACTTGCAAGAAGACCGGCTGCCAAAAACCCATTCACTAAAACTTTGGAATTCGATGTTTCAAGACAAGGCTTGTTGACAAAATGAACTTGTGATAGCAAAATAAGATGCAAATGAAAAGCATGTAATACATGAAATTTTTTAAATTTTAGGGCTTTGATTAAATGGACATACTTGCACTTAAATTTAATGGTGGTAAGAAGAAATTTGGTAGCAAAGAAGGCTGCATTTGAACTATGGGACTTTGTGCGATTGGCGTCAACTGTGGATGGTTTAAGCCTGGTACCGACTGTTGATTGAAACTAGCGAAAGCTTGTTGCCCCAATGAAACCAGAGACTGTTGATTGAAGCCAAGAGATTGCTGAGCAATATTTGAACCAGCAAATGAAGCCAAATTAATTTGTGGCTGCCCATTAGTCATTCTTAATGAAGGCAAAGATGCTGATACGTCCATCGCATAAGACGTCGAAGGATCAGCTAGAAAAACGAACGTGATTATAACCACCGCGCACTATGGTGATGAAGAATTCATAATTCTGGATAATTAGAAGTCACATTTGTAGTAGAAAAATTTAGTATAAATGGAAGTTAGTGTCCGCACTATAAACTCGTATAAAATATGAATAATCACGCATTCAGATAGTACAACTAAGCGAAAGAAGTAAACCATACTGTCAACAGCAGATGTCCTTGAAGGAACAGTAGCTTGTGATAAATGTGAATTTTGATTTGTTGAAGGTATAGGTATATTTTCTACAGATACTACAACATCTGTTTCCGGTGATCCGACAGGAAGAGGTATTGAAGCAGTTACAATAGCATGAGTATTGATATTTGAAGTAGTAGGAGTACCCCAGCGCGTAGGGCGTTTCCGTTTTTCTTTCGCATCAATCTGATTGCTACGGGTCGAATACATTGATACCTTTTCATCTGAATCCTGAAATATACTTATTTCATAAAAAATAAAAGAAATGCGAAACGCAAAACGTATTACGCCTTTACTCAGTCAAATGAAATATAACACACCAACGTAATCCAAGTACAGAAAGAACAGTAAGTGCAAATATACATAAACCTAATTTCAGAAAAGATAATATCCTGTTCTTCACCTTCTAATGTCTACATTTTGAAATCCGAAATAAGACACAAGTGATGATAGCATAAAAATTTATTATATTCAAAAGTAATAGGAAATGTTTTAGGTCACCTATAATTCTAGCATGTGAGCTTTCTTATGCTCACTAACTGATAAAACCAACATTGTAGATCTTACAACCGAACATCATCATATTCCTTACAGTTAAATTTGCACTAAAAAGTAATAAATCAAAGTCAACAAAAATGAGTTTTGGCACGACAAAAATTTTGTTTTTGTAACTACATCTATAACATGCTCATCAATGTCAGCTAAAAGTCAATAAGCAATGACGTACACATTACAGAAGCATCAGAATAAAAGCCTCATCATCCTCTCGAGACTTATGAAACTGAAATAGCAGGCGTAAAAGACTGCTACCCATTCCTAAAACTCCTTATATTACGTTCAAACTATTTACAAAACATGGCTTTGAGAACGATCTCGATCATCTTCAAACCATCTAAACATTTAAGAAGCTATGCAGTATTCAGAAGTGTCTGAAAGGACAAGCTTAGATAACCAGAACAAGAGTGAGAAGAAAATCTAACTCGAAACTAATTCACGAACCTTGATATTCTTCGAAATTAATTCTTTACAAAATGCGATGTTTTCATCAATCGACTTTTTTTCCACGATTCCTTCCTTAGTTTCAATTTTTACCCCGCCACGTGAGATGTGTTGATGCCCACTTGATGTTAAAGTTTTTGACTGTTCCAGCATGATTTCCGCAATCAAATCCACAGAACTCCTTAAATTACGAATTCAAAAAATACGGATAAACCTGATACATAGAAATTAAGAATGAACTCACGCCAGCTTTTCTTTAGAATTTTCATCGCCCACATCTTTTGAGGATTGTGAATCTCTAAAAAAATACAAGATCCTCACTTAGTTTTATAACTCATAAAAGAAAATGGAAAAACGTCTTATATACAGATGAAAGAAATTATAATTACAATGCATAGCAAAGTTTAAAAACATACGGTTCATCAACAGGTATATCTAAAGTGTTTTCTCCTCTGATAGATAGAGTGGATGGATATAATACTCGATTGGAAAGGAATCTTGAAAGGTTCCTGAAAATAAATCTTCAGATATGAAAAAATGCTCATGCAACGTACATCTATCTCACACATCAGTAGAATACTTAGGATTTCTAAAGAAATTTTTTTTTCAACCCGTGCAAATTTCGTATAAATACAAAGAATACTAAAAATATAAAAACTACCGTCTATTTTTGTTGCGTTCTTTTTGCCGACCAAATTCAGAATTAATGCCAATCGTTTCAATTAATTTCTTCCTCTGTAAGAGAATAAAAGATAAAAACATGCTAATAATGAGATCTTAGTAAAAACTATGTAGATATGCGTTGATGAATACACTGTAATTGTAATTACTTTAGTTCAACATTTTCTAATTATTCTTTATGCTGCGTTTAAAATAAGCAGACTCATAATAAGAGGGCAAATATAGAACTGTTAGCACCGAACAAAAATCAGATTCCTCGTTAATACAATAATTTGGGAAAAAACATATGCCAGATAGGAATTAAGTAATGAGCCAGCTCAAACCTTGTGGTAATTAATAAAAGAGACAAAGAGAAAAATCCAAAAACCTGATTACGTTTCCTTTGTCTGCATTTCTTACTAACTTTTTTTCTGGATCGAGAGCGATTCCTTGAATAATTTTTACAAATGCCCATCTTTCTCTTCGTTCTAAGATTTTTTCTTGACTTCTTTTGACGGACCAATTTTTTTGGACGGATGACTTCAGTCTTTCCAGTAGCATCATAATTAGAATCTGAATCTGTTGTCAAGACCATATCATCTAATTCGTCCCAATTATTTTCTATAATTAAAAGAATAAATCCAACATTTCCACACTCGAATACATCAATTCTTTTAATTTTCATTTAAACCAGAAAATCTGAAACTTTACATCAGTCAACTAAAATTTGAAAATTACCAAAAAAAAAAAAAAA